AATTCATAATTAGTTCAGTGAATAAAGAGAAAACCAACACCAATATGCGATACAATAACCATAGTGGGGAAGGCTAGGGAACAAAGACAACACACAGACATATTTTAGCAGGCAATCATCCCACTAGAATTTACTTTTCAGTTGAGAATACTCTTTCCACCAGGCTCAGTCCATCAGTGAAAAATGTTTTGCAGAAAAAGTTTAAGCCTCATCATTCTTTAATTGATTAAGCTGTAAGAAACTGATTCGCTTCTGTAGTTTTCAAAATTTAGACATAAGACAAACTCTTTAAAGGCCTTGGAATATCCTGCACAACTACTTTAAAGAACAGAATGTGTGTTTGTTTAGTCACAGTGACTTGGTTCCAGCTCTTTACTTTTGAGTACACTAATAGACCTGGGTGTTCAACAAGAAGTGCAAAGTTAACAGTAAAGGGCCTGCCAGTCAAAGTAGTGTTAAAAGACACTGGGTATCAGAAACAATTAAGAGCCCCTGCTACCAAAAATATAAGTGATCTTTTTATTATGAAAGTCAGGATGAAGACAGCATAGTGGAACCATTCTTGTAATTATTATTAGAGGTAACATATAAAGAAAGGTAAGAAATAATCTAAAAATGTGGTTTAACATTTCTGAACATTTGTTGTAATACCTTGAATATCAAATCTGACCTTTCTTGTATTAACTGCTAGAAACCTTCAGCACTACAGTAAAGACAATTGGTATTTAGAGCACCATGACTCAGTTCAACAATCAGATTTCTCCTGACCTTCCATAAAAGAGAACAAACTTGAATGTCCATGTAGAGAGTAGGTATGAAAGAACCTGTTATAATAGCCACACTGATTCACCATATGAGGAAAACATGCAGGCATCCTACAACAGCAAGCCACCATTAGAGGTATGTGTCAATGCTACAAAAGCCAAATTAATGGCAATACTCACCTAAGAGTGCCATTTTCTCCTTTGTCTAGGCTGGTGAAGCGACTGTACAAGCGGGTGATTTGACTATGGGAGACTGAAGGCAAAAAAAAAAAAGAAACACAAATTAGCATGTCAATGATTCCTCATAGGAACAGACCCCATTACAATGAACTATGTTGCCAGAAGCAGTGTTCAAAAAAAAGATTACACAAAATAAGTTACATTGGAAGCACACAGCGATCAGCAGTTTGGGGACTTCTTGAGCCGTAAATAGCATCTTAATATTCAAGAATCCACAAATAAGCCTATTCAAAAATTTGCATAACTCTGCATTCTACCCATTTATATTTTTGGTCTCTTACAATCATCGGTTATCTGATTCAGTAAATGGCAATTAAAAGAAGATATTTGATTCACAGTTCCCTTAATTCCTTTAAGGCTAGAAATAATCCAGACACGACCTCCAACAACCACCTCTACATCATTCATGACACTGCAGACCTCTGCTGTAGTACCTTTCCTTCTCTTTTGCTTATTATAACTACTCCTGTTGTCTTTTTCCATCTAAAGATGGAAAGTGTACTCAGTTTCTCTGCATCTGGAAAGTGGTCAGAGAGATTTTACATCTATTCACTTTTCTTCTTTTCTAGGACTGCCAGAATCTAAACAGCTGGTTCATTTCGGGGTTCACTAAAGTCACTTCCAGGCTTCTAGAACCTTGAGTTAAAAACTTAAAAGCCTATTTCAAAATAAGTTTGGGAGGGAGTTGAGATACAAAGCAAGCAGAAATTTATTGGACTTTTAAAATTTGCAATTTGAAACAGAAATTTCAAAGCCAGTATTAAGTTTAGCATTATAGCGTCAACATTATCAAGATATTAGACAACCCAATATACTAGACAACCCAAGATACAAGATATTGGTCTTCAGAACAGTCCATGATGTATCCGGGTTAAACCAATCTAGAACAGCAATTCCTTTAACACTGAAAGAATACCCTACAGAAGATCTTGGCTTTTCAGAGCTTCTTCAGATGAAGTTAATAAATACATGAAATAAGATTGAATTGAATTTTAATGTTTACTTAGTAAAGGTGTGATTTTCTACAATGTTAAACTAGTACTTGGTGTCATTTTCAGATCCAATTGTTTCAAAAGTCTTCGCCAGCACATGTACAATGCTTTTATTGCTTGCTGAAACTTATTTGGGAACAGGTTGCACAGCAGTTGTCCAATCTGACAACTAAAGCAATTTCGCCCCCCCCCCC